TGCGTCTTGACAACGTTGACACATCCCGTCGGGGTGAGATGACATTCTGGACGAGATGTTCGCTAAACTTGAGGCCGAGGACAGAGGCCGCCTGTGAGCCGACCATCTAGCCTTTTTGAGGTGTTGTGTGATTTGTTCAAATATCCCATGCTCACAAATGTGGACAAGCTGACGACTATAAACGAATGAGAGTACCAAATTTAGGCGAAGAAAATTTGGGTCTCGAGCAATCTCTTGTTTCACAATTGTTGAGATTGCTTCAATTGCGAGTGAAAGTGTTTGATGAAGAGATTCGAAGGTAACAAATGAAAAGTTGTGATAGGGCGGCAGTGGGATAAGAGGTTAAAGAGTAGATAGATAGATAGACAATGACAGAAAGAGGAGTGATGTTGTAACCGTTTTCGGCAGAACGTTTGTCGAGCGATCGAGTTCACTTGTCTTGGCTTGGTGCGGAGAATGGCAAAACTGACAACTGATGCCGGCGAAACATCTGAGAATGTACCAAGTCCACTGTCTGTTGCTAGGAGTCATGACAACTACTCTGGCAGACGACTTCGGACTAGATGCGTTCTACATAGTCGCCCTGACAACAAGACCAGGTTGCGACAACGAGGTCAACCCACTTCTGTAAGTCGAAAAGAAACTTCGACCATAACAGAGATGACAACATCTTGGTTTTCATATATTGAAGAAAATTTGTGTTTTGAGGGATCTCTTGTGTCATTGATTGTTGAGTTTGCTTCAATTTCGAGTGAAAGTGTTTGATGAAGAGATTCGGAGGCCGATTCGACCAGAAGACGACGGCGGATTCCTCTTGACCAGCTGCCGGTTGATTGGCTTTACTGGAACATTCTTGTTGACGCTATTTACGCGCTAATCGCCCTAGATTCCGTTATGCTTACTTTTAGAGCGAAAGTTGGCCCATTATCAAAATCGGGTTGCTACCGCATAATGTGTTCATGTGGTCGCTGTCATGTTGGAGAGACGTGTCGTCCAATTCGGAAAATGTTTGGCTCAGCATAAAAGTGGTTGCAGAAGCGGTTGGGCTCAAAAACATGCATACACATATCGCGACAGACTCACTCACATGCTCCGAGTTCGACATATGACCGTAACTAACCAAATCACTTTGACCACTTTTTAGGGATTTGCCGGTGAGTTTTCTTAACTTGTTAGCGTCAATTTGGTTGTGATGATGATACCCTCCTTGCTCTGATAATGTTCGTCATGTGACACACGAACGCTGAGCACCTTTTCACCGAAATCGAAGGAGATTGCCTCGGAAACAGCGTCACTGGAAATGTACCAGTCAAGCCAGTCGACAGCTGGTCAAGAGGAATCCGCCGTCGTCTTCTGGTGGAACCGACCTTCGAATCTCATCACCAAACACTTCCACTCGAAATGAAAGAAAGCTGAATAATGACCAATTGTACACTGCATTTACATGTCCATTTAATGATGAGAAATTTGAGGATTATTTGGCTAGGAACAGTTTTTTGATAGGAATGCTATTTAAAAATATCATTTTTTAAATCCATTACTTTCTAAATTTATATGAGATGTATTCACCTTATTTAATTCATGGTAATGAAAGAGTGATGGGTGAATTTTTCCATATTTATATGACTAGAGACGACTCTTTCTCTGAATTTCACACAACCTTACTTTCCCAAATGGTGTTTTCATCTCGGCAGGAGTGGAGTGGAGTTTCGAGCTCGTCTCAACTGGTCTTATCCACACCCCCAGCGGGACTCGAACCCTGAGAGTATAGCGTGCAATCTTGGCACATCAACTATTGCGCCAAATTGCCACAAGTGCTCTTTTGAAAGACAAGCAGGTGTAAACTTCAAAGAAGGCCAGGCATTTCGCCACATCACATTCTTTGGTGGGTTTGTCGGTAAAGCAAAATGATATTAACATCACTTGTTTTTCCGTTTATAAGTACGGTTTACTCGTTGTCGAATCATTCTACTTATAAATTGTTCAACGTTGTCTTATTTTCACAAGCTTTCAAGTCCTCTTACCAGATCCACTTTTTCAAGATGCATATGAAAGAAAGTTCTGCCATTGAAAGGCAGGATCATCTGTAACCGTGTGTGGTTGGTCGACACTGTGATTTCATAACTGTGTGTTATGTTTACACATAAATTGTATCCACCAAATCAACTGATATTCCCAATGAAATGAAGTAATTTTGCAAATTGAACGACAACATATGCTGGCTGTTGGATGGGATCGGGCCGATGGAACAGAAAGAATTGCCGAACACGAAGAAAATGTTTGATTAGCTTCGGATCTGCTTTGGCCTCTCACACCTCACATGTTGCATGAATGTCGTATGGCTACACACACACACACACACACACACAAGCAAACGACCACGACGACAAACGCGAGTACACACGCCAATGTTTCCGGTGGAGAGTCAGCTGTTCATTCACAACCGCGTCCACTTTAAGTGTCATCCACAGCCACTTCACTCTGCTTCAAGCAAGTGGGGGAAGTATGAAGTAGGCAGCCGAGCCATGAGAGATGGCTTGTCAAGTGGGCGAAATTGGGCTCTAAGAGGTTGTCGACGGGAGCACAGTTGGTCGCCATTCGTTGCTTTTAGTGTCGACTGCGGTTTTCGCAGAGATGGCTTGATGGCTCCTACAAAATGCCATTTCGTATGCAAGTTTGCATCGAAGTCGGCGGTAATTCTTGAAGCAAAACTCGCGTCATCTCATGTCGTCCGAGGCGACTTAAGGACTTGTGTGCATGTAAATAAGGCCGGAGCCAGCCTGAAGCCCAGCAACATGACTTACGCAAAACAAAGCCGGCCAGTACAGGATTTGTTAGGAGGACTTTCATTTCCTGTGGAAGGGCATGCAGAAGAGATTCGTATTTTCATCTCACCGGAAGACGACGGCCGTTTGATGTAAGCACGACGTTCAGGTTGACGCAGACCACAAGACATCCTTCATCGTTTCAGATCAAAATGGGTTGGACCTACATCATCAGAGCTGGAATCCATTTTTGTAAAAGTGTCAAGTTACCAAGCACCAAGTCGAGCAGTAGCAGTAGATCATTTATGTATGAAGTGAATTCGCCCCATTTCGTTTGAGGTGATAAGGTGACTGATAGTTACATTTTTCATGGAAATTCACTTAATATTGTCCTCCCAAAAGGTATTCTCATTCAGGCCAGAGTTTCTATCTCGCCCAAACTGGTCTTATCAGCACTCCCAGCGGGACTCGAAGCATGATAGTTCAACTACTACGCCACCCTGCCATGAGTTCCCTTGGGTCACACGGAAGATGTGAATTTCAAGGAAGGCCAGGCATTTTCGTATTTTGTTGTGAGATTTTCGATAAATCAGAATTCTACTGCTATAGCAATCGCATACACTACTTATATTTCGTCTATAAGTAGATTTTTCGAGTATACCCCCACAAACTAAATAGAATGAATACGCTTTATAAGTAAATGATCTACCGGTAGTCCCGATAAACCCTACTTCTAAGCGAAACTTCCATTTCGAGTTAAAGTGTTTAGTGAAGAGATTTAAAAGTGGATCCCACCAAAAGACGATGGTGCATTCCTCTTGACCAGCTGTCGATCGGTCTTACATGAACATTGCCTGTTGAAGCTGGTTCTGAGGTAATCTCCTCCGATTCCGTTTCTACCGTCTTATGACGAACATCGTCAGAGCAGGAAGAGTATCATCCTTACAACCATTTTCAAGAAATCGAGTCGAAATTACAGTCCACCCTGGACGAGAATGGCTTTCGGGGGTCAAGGCTACGTGAAATTTAATGGGAATGTGCTGTCTACTCATATAATTACGGAAAAATTCAACTACCACCTTAAACTAAATAGGGTGAACATGGCACATATTCTATATCTAACTAGCTATGTGTATGCATTTCCATTTTTTAGCTATGATTGTATACGAGAGGTAGGATAGAGTCGGACAGTCTTCTTGACTTGGTTTATGTAATGTTTTAACCCTATTTCGTTTAAGGTTACAAGGGGTGAATACACTTCATGAACCAAGTCAAGAAGACTGTCCGATTCTATCCTACCTCTCGTATACAATCATAGCTAAAAAAGGAAAATGCATACACATAGCATATGTGTCATGTTCACCCTATTTCGTTTAAGGTGGTAAAGGCCTGGCAGTTCAATTTTCCCGTAATTATATGAGTAGACAGGACATTCCCATTAAATTTCACATAGCCTTGATTCCCAAAAGCTTTTCTTGCCCGGGATGGACTGCAATTTCGACTGGTTGTGAGGATGATACTCTGCACGGATGATG